TACATTAGCGTAATGTACATGAAAAATTGCAAACAGTAGAAAGGTTTCCAAACTAATTTTGGTGGTCAAGGAAGAAGCTCGAATCAACCATCACACAGATTTGGAGAACGAGAGATCTAATTGATCGTTCAACTGAAGACATGTTTTCACTCCATTTTAAATATAACTGAAACTATGTTAAACAATTTATCAGTTTGGCAGTATTCGTGATAGATCGCCGGTAGATTTTGAAAAAGGAATTCGTTTCAGCTGGAGAGAGAGCAGAAAGCTAGTATTTAATTAGATTAAAAAAAAACAGTGAGGAAAACCCCGCTTTGTAAGAACAGCGAATAAGAAATAAACATTTTTCTTTTTAATCCTCAGACTATAAACCATAGTAATATCGCATGTATGCTAATACTTTTAAATAGACAACGGCGTTTCGCAGATTTCGCCTCTGTTTTCAAATGTCTCAGCTGAAAAGGTAGTCTGCACTAACTTTCCTTTCTCTAGGAAAATTAAATAAGAAAATTAACATTAATCAACATTTCTTTAGATTAATATTTCACTAATTGTCAATGCCACCTAATAAAGAGAAAAATAACTCTTACCGTCACGTTTAGTTACAGGTGCGAATTTAGAAGACCGTCCGTTGAGTGAATCGATAGCAGCTGAAACAGGTTTCCATTGATTCTGATCAGCCAATCAGAGCACGCACAGCCTTCAGACTTGATTAGCTTATCGCGCTTTGATCAAGGCCCTCGTGCATTTTACAGCATTCGTAGACTTTCGAAATGTTGAGCTGGTTCATTTTTTGCTTTCTAGCAGGCTTGCAAGCTTCTTTTGGGAACTATGTTCCCATTTGCCAGCAGGCAAGTGAACGGAACGTATCTAGCCCAGAACTGCCTACCTTTCCCACGGCCTTCTCGACCTCTGTAGAGGTAAACATCGTCAACAAGAACTACACTGCCATTTACAAGGAATTCTATGACCTAGCCGCGAATAAGGGTAGCTTGCAGCGAACAAAAGATGGAAAGACAACCCGCTCTATCTACGACTACAGTTTAGACGAGAGAATCGATTTGGATATGAGTGCGCAAAACTGTTTCGTCTCTTCTATATACGTAGGACCACATCATTTTAATTTCTTCGGAAACAACAACTCGCACATCGAAAGCGTCTCACAATTGTTTCATTTTGCAAAAAGGTTTAACGAAACCTATATGGGTGTTGTGTCCATTCGAGGAATCAGGTAAGTGCATAGAAATATTTTGTTGAAGTAAACGGTCTCCTATAGCCTTGCAACGTAGAGCTTAAAATGAAATTGAAAGGTATTTTCGCTTTCGAATCACGTCTCATGCCATGTGTGTCAGTTTCAATACGTTAGTTTTTTTAAAGTTAACTTCAGTTAAGAAGGAGATTATGGATGGACAGGTGCTCGTAATATTAGACTTTATTTGCAGCGTACTTAAGGATGAGACAGAATATCAGTAAAAGCAGCCATGCGTGGAAGAGGATTCTGTACATGTTTTAGAGCGATTCGATACGAAAGTGGCTAGCTTCCAAAGTTACTTAAGCATTTTTGGATTTTCTTTTTCATTCTATTATTTTTCTTTAGTCGAGACAGGATTTGTGTTCACTGATATGTCAGCCATGTGTTTTAGCTGTGCAAGTGTTTTACATTAGTATGTCGTTGATCCAGTACTCAAGAAAGTCACGTGAAATTCATGCATCAGTGACATTTAGAAAGTAACCCATTCACTAGTGTTTTCATTACCAACCGAAAATGATTCAGCATTATCAAGGTTATGCTATAATTGCAACTAGATGATTCTTCTTCACCCAAGCAGAAATAATTAATGATTCATTTATAAAAATAAGTGACATCTGCTTTTTTTGGTGTTTTCACCCCTTTCGCCCTGAAGATATGAATATTAATTATCTGTACTGTCAGACAATTTTATACCCCATTCACAGTGATGTTTTAACTTGTTTAGAACCTGTTTTGTTAAACATTGTTTAAACCTGTTGTCTGCAGAGAAGCTGCTTAAACCATTGCTGACTTTAAATTAATGCACATTGAAATACAAGTCAGGCCCCATGTAAAGGGGGTAACCAAGACAACCCTCCCCCTGAGTTACCCTGGGTGAGTTAACTTATTACTTACTTCTTTACAAAATTCAGCCAAATGTTTACATGAGGTTGTAAACTCCTCTTGGTTAGGCAAGACAACTCAGGAGGGGGAGGGGGGGGGGTGTTGGGCCAAGGTGCAAGACAACTCGAACAGAAAATGCATGCACATGGTAAGACTGGGATGTTTACAACTATTTTTTTATCTGTGGTTCACCATTTGTTGATTATGTAACTTGGCCAAACAAGAGTCAGCAGGTGTATGTGTCAAATTTCATATAAATACTCTGTAAAGTTGTCTCAGGGGGAAGTTTGTCTTGGATAACCAAGATCATATAAATGGGGTCTTAGTGACTCATGTTTGAATCCCATTGAAATTAAAATTTTTCAGGTCTCTGCTTCTGATTTTCATTCAGTTTAACCCAATTAACTAAGCATGTTTTGCTGGTGTGGATGGGATATTGTATTGTTTGCTCAAACAAGAGTACAAAGTTAAATCAAACAGTATCTCCTTTTTGATTATTTTCTATTCTCTCACCACATTTCTGCCTGAAATACATTGACATGGTGAGCAGATATTATTTTAAGTCACACACAAGAGTGAAAAGGTTAAATGTTATGTTGCGATGTTTACTATATTTTGGTCATGAGCAAGTTGCCATCTTTCTAAATGGCGGCTTTCAGAAATAGATAAAATTTGGTTTTTGCATAAATTTCAAGTTATTTACAGGAGCAAAAAGTAGAAGGGCTCACATAATTTTTTTTGTGTGTGTTTGATAAATTTTTGCATGCAATTATATCTGTGATACCTGAAGTTACCATCATACTGATACAGTGTACCTGTTGAAGCATTTTGATTTTAGTAACAGTGCCACAGTAGTTTGCTGCTTCTCCGAGACATGAGTTATTTCATGCTTCACTTCAGTAAATGTTATGCAGTGGTCACATCATTTCAGTCAGTGAGCAGAATATATGTTGCATTTAATTTTTCATCACATTAATTTTGAAAGTTCAACTAGTTAAAATTGAACCTGTATTAAGTGGCAGCATATCAAACAGTCACCCTGTAATAAACGGTTGGTTATCAAAGTCCTAAAATTTTCCCTCCCTACACATTGACACCAACGTGTAACACGTGTCTATCTAAAAGTTAAAATTTTGGAGAAACCGGAAAGTAAACACAATGCGCAGTCAAGTTTTATAAGTCATCTTTTCCCAAAAACAAGCTCAAGTGAAAGAAAACCATTTAAATAACTTACTTTCCACGAAAAAAGCGATAGAACCATATTGAGTTTTTACTCTAAAATCAAGATTAAAGATAAAAATCAGTAAATTTTTGCGCACGTGTGCAAACAAGTATGCAGATCGGATTTTAAAGTGAATATGCAAATTTATCAGTGTGTGGAGAGATCTCGTGCCACATAGAATTTATAAATGAGAAGAAAGACGAAACTGACCAAGGAACGTTTCGGGAAGAAAGCTTTATTCAAAACAGTTCTTGATTTTCTGTTAGAACCGAAAAACGTACGAATTTCTTACGTGTGCGAAACCCACGAAGTAGAATTCATCATGCATAGATCGATGTCTACTTGTCTTCGCGGCAAAAATACTGCGCAGCGTTATGTTGAAAATACTGAAAGTTCTACGTTTTAACACAAAATCTTCTATCAAACAATACTTTTTGGACGTCTCATTACTCAAACATGACATTTACCGTGCCTTGGAATCTGCATAATGTCGCTAGGCCTCGCTTGAAGTCCGATAGTTTGGTGTTCACTTTACGGCCCTAATTCGCATCACTTTGGAGTATTGTCGACTCGAAAGCTTATTTTGTCGCTTTTAAGACCTTGATGTCCATTATTTTCCAAGCAGATTACTCTATAGTATTTTTTCTTTTCATTTTGTGTTCCAGGAGGTCTAAAATGGTCGGAAAGAAACAGAAAATCCGACTTGAAAATATTGAGAGTCGGCCGCGCGTACGCCATCTTTTCATATTTGATCATTTCTTGTGAACGCATAAAATGACGCCTCTGTACTACCCCCTAAAGTAATCAAAATAACTGCCCAAAACACGGATTCTGATTGGTACATAGATCCTCTAACAACAGAGGAAGTTTGGAGACAAAACTCTGCTTAGTAGGGGAGATAGGGGGGGAAAGCGTCTCTCGCGCAAGTCCCCCACGCGGCACGGGCGGTTACGGGCGGTTCAGGTGTCAATGGGTAATTAAATTAATTACTGTAATATTCACCTATGAGAAGTGGTAGTGGTAATCTCCATTGAGTCCTGGTTAGAGGCTATTGCAGATAAAATGGTTTGCTTTCCACTACAAAATTATATTGAAAATGTTTTTTAGGCAACTAGCTGTGACTGAATAATTTTGATTTGTCTTTATGAAGGAACGACACTGTACATAGTCTTAGCCTGCAAGGTTGTTGTTTGGTCTTGTTATGTAACAGGGCAATAGAGTGTTGCATGACAAGACCAAACAACAGCTGTTAAGGAGACTACAGGATGCATGGTACTGATGCACCTTAATTTTTTTATTTAGACACCAGTAGCAATAGACAATTAAAATACATGTGTCTGAGGTTATTTCAGATAAATTAGAAGGTTTATTCTTTTTGCAGTCCATTGAACAATAATTTCATTTGTCTGGGAATCTTTTAAAAGTAAATGCTCTGTTTCTTTTACAAAAATGCAAACATCAGTTAAAGAGCTGTACTTGGTGTCCAATTTCAACCTACTCACCCAAAACAATTAACTCTTGCATGGGTAGCTACTTATGTTTCTATAAATCAAGTTAAATTTTTTTCTGATTAAACGATTTAACCCTTTAACCTCCAAGAGTGACTAGCATCTAATTTCTCCTTACTATATCACTTCTGAATCATACATTAAGGTCATGAGAATAAAGGAAATGATCACCAACTAAAGAAGCTTTTGATTGTGAAACAAATTCTCCTTGTTAGCGCCTTAAGAAATGTATAAAGAACAGTATGGAGAATATGCATATTAGGGTGTAAAGATTTGAGACTGTATTTCTTTGAGTAGGGTTAGGATTAAGGTTATTTTTGTTTTGGAGATTGTTTGTGTCGAGGTTAGCTTTCTCGGGGGGTTGGTTACATGAGGTAGCCATTAGATTTGGCTTGCTGCCTTCTGGTGTTTCTTTTCAATAATATACCTACATGTAGTTAGTAGGAAGGTAATAAATTGTTCAAATGAATTGCTTATGGCTTGGAGTGCTGATTTATTGAATTTTGCTTTATCTAACTTGTCTTTTCAGATGCAATCATTGGAGGGCTTGTGTTGTGCATGGTAATAGTTCATATTACCTGGACTATTATTTTTCAGTGCCAGGTTGGAAAACAAGTTGGCCCAATGCAACAGTGGTGCGGGCTGTCTATAATGGTACATCTGTCAGGGGTGGTGCCTCACATGATTTTTATAATATTTATGACTTTTTCAATTTCCGACCTGGTTCCCCAAACCCATCTGAATTTCAGCTTCCCAGTGGATATTTCTGTGCAGGACTTAAAGGTTTAAACAAGACTGTCCCTAAAGTTCCTTCAGCGTTTAGTGTGAACTTTGAAATGGTTTTGAGAGGCACCCGGAGAAACAGAACTTTTTTTGTTGATTCAAATTGGCAGGTATGGACATTAATGTGTATTAACTCATCTACTCTATTATTAATTGAAAATGTTTACGACCAATAATTAATATGTAACATTATATTAATTCAATCATTTATTTAATTCATTTTGTATTAATTTTTTTGTTCAACGTTTGTTCTGTGGTTTTGTTGATTACCACAAATTATGTCTTTTTTGTACTCTTGCGGATGAGAATCAAGTTTCTAGAATTATTTGCTCTTCAAATTGTGCTAACAGGTCTCTATTTCTGGATTGTGGAAATATTTTAATTTATAAAAGCACTGGTCTTAATCTGCAAGATGGTATGGTGGGATGTACTCAGTCTAAAAATCAAGGAATTGGATTCACACAATTTTATGGAAGTTATGAAGGTAAAGCAAAACTTCATATTTAACACTTCTGACACAAGTATAATAGACATTTTCTTTTATTTAACAGGAAATTTATGACCTTGAGAAAAAACTGTTCTTGGTGAAGTACCCAAACTGGTTTAGTAGCCATGGTCAAGTTGTAACAATCCATGATTTCAACACAGGAATTTCTTACAATATATCAACTGGCAAGACTGGGCCAGTGTGCAACATATCTGCTCTGTCTTCTTTGACACGAAGTTGGGATGTGTATCGTGATGGACACCACCACATTCGCATGAAGACAACTCATCAGTTATTTAACACACCTCAAAGAAATGGGTCATCTCCCCTTATTTACAAGGGTTCTTCTACTGTGCGTGGAATTGATGTAGACATCTGGGTTGGAAAGGGCATGATCAAAAACAGGACTTCAAATGAGTCGACTGAGGTGATCATTATACAACACAATTTTTGAAAGTTATGCAGTACCATTTGTAACAAAATCATAGCTGCATACAATTCTAATTAATGACAGCAAAAACTTGCTAGTTGATTTATTTCAATAAAACTTTTAATACAATATTGTTTTATATGTACAAAACTGTATTCTACGTTGGAGGGAGTTCATACTTTCTTATTTAGTCTGACCAATTTCCAATTTAAATTTTGATAGTCCTTCACCTGCTAGTAAGTTCTTTTAGCCCTTTACACCCTAACATCAGTATTCATATTCTCCATACTGTTCTCTGTACATCTACTAAAACTTATTATAACCATTGTCTAGTTTCTTTCTCAAAATTTGTCATAGTACTTTGTGTTGTCCAATTCTGTTGGTAATCATACTTGTAATTAACAAATCAGACTTGTGCTTCACAGTCATCTGATCTTGTTAATCACTTGTATGATTAGAGACTGAATTGGACTCCACTCAGGGAGAAAAAAAATCAGACAGACTCACTCTTACAGTGCAGACTTTTTTAATCTAGATATCTTCCATGACTCAATTCCTTTGTATTATCAACAGTAATTGTTTCTTACTGTTATAAATAGTCACAACCCTCTTTGGTCTCTTTAAGATTTAAATCAAGGGTGGTCTGCATTTAGTTATTTGACTGTTTAGGGAAAAATAATTACATTTTCTGTTTGAAGTAGCCAGAAATTATTAGTCAAAAGAAATTAAATTATGTTGTGTGCAGGTGTTAAGCTGAAGAAGTACTTCTTCCTTATTTTAATTACAATGATTTTTTCCACTTTGTGCTTTTGTGTTCATTTATAGACTATCTTTGAGTATTCCTTCTCAAAACCAAAGTGGATATTCATGGCAGGTTCACAGACCAACCAAACCCAGGTCCCTGTGCGCCTCGACATGTACAGATCAGATGGACGTCACTTGATGTTTAACATGTTCAATTTTGATGCTAAGGCTGCAGAGACAACAGCCTTTGACATTAAACCTTGCTTCAAATGGGATGAGCAACGCTATGTTCAGTTTAACCTTAAAGGTCAGAGAAATAGCAATAACTGTCTTTTTCTTGTGGACATCCCACTGATTCTTAATACTGTTTTTATGCCTGTTAATAGTTTTGGCAAGCCCAATCAGCATTATCATTAGCACTATTATTATTATTTCTATCATTATTATAACTGAATATAACGGTAGTTTTTTTATTATCAATTATTAGGGGTTTCATTTAGTTTTGTTATGAGGAGATGCTCGTTGGAGAATAGGCAGGCAGAAAACATCACTTAAGGTGGACCACTTCCTGTCTTGTATGGCTGAGCTTGTAGAGCTCAAAGTACTCAAAGTAATTAGCACCTTACCACAGAGAAATTCTGGTAACCCATCATGCCAAGAAAATTTGGTTTTGATGTCACTTTTCAATGTTTTCCCCTTCATCTATGTAATAAACTCTGTATTACTATACAGCATTCATAAAAAAATGCATTGTGGGTGCGACGCATAGTTTAAATGTAAGCAACTGTTGGACAATGCATTTTCACATTCCTTACTAATCAAGAGGACACTTTTGGAAGGTCCAAATGGAAGGCAAAGTATGTTAGAAAATATGCACATCTCTGAAATGCATGGTACCTACAACTTGAAAACGGAGGAAAAAAATTTACTTCCTAAGTTTAGTCTGGGGCAGCGAAATAATATATGTTAAAGATATGGTGGGATAGTAGTTTTGTAATTTACTGTTGATCAATTAAATATCAACTCTCTGACTCGTTTAGGTAATTATGCAAAATATGCTGCCTCAAGGGAGTTCAAGTTATCTCTCAGCAAGACTATCAGTGAAGCAGCAAATGTGACAATTATCAGAGTAAATGGAATGAGGGTAAATGATTTTAATTTTTACTTAAAAGTGTATATGGACGATAAGAGCATTGATGACAGTGCTAATATTAATTGTTTATTCACTGAAGTGGAGGTGAGCAGTGGTGGCTATCTTCCAAGCCACAAAGCCACAAGATACAAGTATCCAGCACTTTCAGTTCAGTTCAACAGTTCAACACTGCGATGAATGTAATTGTTTTTAGTAAATGCATGCATCACAGGAACCAAAATCAATTTCTTCTCTTAGGCTGCTTGGAGGTGAAAAGTACTTTCAGCTAAATTCTTTTTAACTAGCCGATCAGCATGCCCAAAAGGCTTTATTCACCTGTATGGTATATATGGATGTTAGTTACACTGGATTTTGGATTAATGTAGTCTAAAATGAATTTGAAAAAATCAGCAACCTTTATCATGTTGAGAGCTGGTGCCACCAAAACTGGTATAAGTTAGAGTCATATTGATGATGAGAAATAATTTATTTAGAATTTGACATTTTAATAAACAATTATTGGATGCGGTTTTTGTGATATCCAGAATAATCAAAGTCAAGGTAGGGTTAATCTGCCTCAACCTTCAGCTTAGTCTGATTACCCTTACCAAGACATTGATTTTTCTAGATATATAAAAAAAAAAACAGAATCTGATGATTGTTTTGTTACACATTGAACAAAAAAAGAAAAGGTCGCAACAGTAAGTTGAACTGGTAATTTATTTCTAAACATGTAAAAATATACATATCAACAGGCAACACAAAGTGCACCAACTTGACATGATACCCTTAGAATCATGCACCACAGTCATACATGACATGACTACCCATGACACATGGTGTTCAGCTGATAACCCCTATCTCAACCTTGAGTATTCTGGATATCACAAAAACCTCATCCAATAATTGTTTAATATGCTGTCAATTTTCAGTTAATGGACAATGAGGGTCAAATGACTGTTGCTTTCATTTTGCTGAACAAAACAAAGCCTGTTGTTGATGCAGAGGTTACAATATATCCTGAAAACGGTCTCAAGGATGCAGTGGGTACCTTAAAGAAAACAGTTCAGAGTGGAGCATTCAAAGTTAACTTCCAAACCAGTAAGAATAGCTTTTTTTCATGTTATATTTTTCACAGCAAATACATGTAGTAAATTCATATGACAGAGTGAAGAAAAATATTTGAAGCCTTAGTTGACATACTATGAAGGTGAGTTTTGATTAATGAGAACTACTAGAAATTTATTGTTTTTGACTGGTTATCAGCAGCCCAATTTCACCACTTGTATGGGAGCTACATTTTCCAAAGTAGTGTGTAGTTCCAAAGTCCAGGAATTGAAACTAACCAATATACATCCAACAATCCCTAGAAGATACATTTATTGGTAAAAGTTAATTTTTTTAGCAGCTTTAACACTTACTAGTAACTGTTGACTGTTATGTCTTGACAGAAGCCATACCTGCTGAGAAGTCTTCTTTCAGAGAAGGCCTGGTGCCAGCAACACCTCCTCCTGCTCCACCCAGACCAACAGAGAAACCCACAGGCAAACCAGGTCCAGGGGATAAAAGTGAAGTCAAAACAAAGGGTGTGTCAAGTGGTGCAGCAGCTGGAATTTCTATCCTCATGCTCGTAGTTGGAATATTTGGAGGCTTGGTTGTTGCACATGTGATCATGAAGCGTCGTGGAACAAGCTTGTTCCAGTATCAGCGTCAGGCATAGCTTTAGTTGTGTTCAGTTAGTTGTTTACAGTATAACCCCTTTTGTATTACTCCATTGTGCTAAAATGTTTTGTTCCATTTGTGTTAATAATGAGCATAATTTACATTGGTCCAATGAATGTAGAGTAAGGATCTAAAGCTGTTATGGGTTTTCTGCCACTCAAGTCTGGTTTCATCATTTTAGAATATCAAGTACAGTACAGTGTGAAAGGGAGTGATATGAGTTACAGCAAAAGTGAGGAAGCCACAGTTGATCTCAGTTTTAAAAAATGGATTGTTTAAGAAGCTTCTCTGAATTGTAAGATTCTGGCAGAATCAATAGTGTTAGCCATGTTTTATTAATTTTTTAAGTTACAATAACTGAGGAAGTAAAAAACTTTTTTAAAGATCCACCTAATCAGTTGTTGGGGAATCTATGTGGAATCTATGGATCTATGTGCAATCCAAACATATAGCCAATCCCTTAATCCTTTAACTCACAAAGTTGAACAGAATATCAATTCTGCCTCTGTATGTGTCATAAATTTCTTAAAGTTTTAGCATAGGGTATTTTGGTCATCAATCTAACAATATCCTATAGCTGATATTTTCAGGCTTCGATCTCTATCACCTTTCTGCTGTAATATGAAAAATGCATTTTTTGTTGCTCTTGGGAGTGAAAGGGATAAAATAAGCTGATGGGAGAAATAATGTGCTCTCTATTGTTTTCCTTTGTGACCAGATACATGTACAACATATTCACTAGAAGTTGTATGATACGAGTACAGAATGCATATGTACGAAATGCATTTGTTACAAAGAAGGCATTCTGTCTAAGCATTCATGTAATTATTTACATTTTGTTTAGCACCTGTGCACTTGAAGTTTCTTAAACATGTATTGACAAATGCATAGTCACAATGAAGTGGGAATGGGAACTCTTCTCACTGACTCTAAAGTGTAAAATCTATTCTTTCATACAATATGCAGACTTATTTAACTGTGGAATAGCTATAAGCTAACATAATTTAAGCTAGGTATAAGTGGTAAGTTTCTATGCCCATCCATTTTTAACACCTTGTAGTAGTTAGAGGAGTAAGATTTAAAAATGTGTGGGTAAGGTATTTTTATTTATTGCTGAGCTGTTGATGTTCGTTATTATTAAAACATCAACTTCGAGGAAACAATGTTTTCCTTTAAGTAAATAATGTGTAAGGTGGTGGCTCAATGTGAGTCAGTCAGCAACTTTATGTGATTAAATTGTGGATGAAAAGTTTGGGAAGTTAATGTTGATGGTCAGGTCATGTTGATGATCTAGTCAAGGGGTAATTTCTTGGGTAAGTAGATTTGATGCTAATGAAGACACTACATCCCCTTTCAGTTCCAACTTCCCCCTATTTTATTTTACAAGATAGTATGATTGTCAGCCCTGTATTTGTTGTTCATTTTATCCTTATAGTCTATGTGGAATTAAGAGACAAAGAAATTTGTGGAATGCTCCCAAATGAAACCGGGAGAGTGTCCTGGAAGGTTGGTGTGAGGGCTAGAAATCTACCCCATCCCACAATGGGGTAGAGTTGCTGCCCAAATTTCTGCTGAACTCATTCCACAACAAATTTTTCCTCAGAATCAAATATCTATTCCTTTTTTTTGTTTGTTATTCCCAGTCCATTCCTTTTATCTTATCTTCTATCGCCAGCCTCAATTCATCCTTTCAAGCTCTTCCTTGAAGTGAAGGAACCTGAATGATAAGGGGAGCTGTTAGTGGTTTTCAATGTAGCATACAGTCATGTAGAATTGATAATTATTTCTTTGAGAGGCATACATAGAATGTAATTCTATGTAATTAGGGGTGACTCTAAGTGTGCAAGTAGAATTGTTCCTTGGTCACAATCTTAGAGCCAAAATTGGAGTACAAAAGTTACCTGATCATGACAGAGGAGTGCAGGAGAAAGAATTTGCACTTTGCACAATCTTTTTATATTTCCAATGGATTAATAGAGCCTAATCCAGTATTGCATTGTTTTTTCCCTCTAGCATGCACCCAAATGTTAATCCTCTACATTGCATCCTCTCAATAGACATTAGATGCAAAAGTAAAAACTCATTGTGACTATGTACCAGTATTTACCTTTTTCGACCCTGGATTTATGTGTTCATAGACAGCTGTATTCATCAAAACAGCTGCAAACATCTAACTGGTGGTGGAACACGATGAAAACAAAGGCTGCAAAGTCTGATTGCATTTCTTGCTCCTAGGCACACAGTCCATAGCAAATTTTAGGACTACTTATTGGCCCTGCTTCACACTTACCTTTTTCGCATTAGATACACTTTTCTCGTTCTGAACTCGGTCTTCCTGCTTGACTGTTGGGTAGCACCGAGTCTCACTCTTTACTAAAGCCTTGTAGATGCGAAGCGATCTGAGGAACATGATCCATCGTCCGCAGTCTACGAATCCGTTCCAAACATACTATGTCTAGAGCATAGATACGAGGCGCTAGGTCACGTGGTTAATTTTTTGGCGGCCAGACCTAGCCATCCTGTAGGTTGAGTCTATCGACAATATTAATTTCCCTAGTGGTTAGATGTTTTGCGTCCAAGATGACTATTGAATCATAAAAATGAGAAATTACCTTCTTTAAGAACGGCCGATAAGCCCCTTACCGCTTTTTGTTGGCTGGAAATAAAGGTGACTTGAGCAAAATATGAGGAAACTAATTTAAAACCTTGATCTACACAATTTGAAAAATAACCTGCAGGTTGTGTTTGCCTTGAGTGTTACCTCGAGTATGGAAGAGTTTCGACTATCTATCCGCGCTCCGACTGACAAAGAACCGCCTGAAGGTGAGTTTTCCCTCAAAGATGGTTGTGCTCTCTATCTAGACAAATACTCGATTGTTACTTACTAGTGTACGAGGTGATTTTGATCGATGGCCAAAACCACTGAACAGTTGAAACAGTCACACGCTTCACTTTATTAAAGATTTACATTCTTTGCTAATCTTTTTCAGTAATTCCCTTACTCAGGCATCTTAATATTTATCGTTGTAGGGGACCTTACTTTGACAAATTTCACTCCATTCCAAAATTCAGATCAGGTTATAATTTGTTCTGCTGAACACGTTTCTGATGCAGACACGGTAAGTTTTGTATCTAGGATTCAAACTTTGTTAACGATGTAACTTAGAATATTTAACTTAATTAAAACGATTTTTAAACGATAAAGCGCGATTTCCTACACAGCTCAACATATCATAACCGAATTTCCCGCCAGCAATGTGAGTTAAACTCTGATGAAAATGAAAGAGAAAAAAATGACGTTAAAAAAGAGGAAAAGGTTTATTATTTTACGGCGATATTTTAATTTCTTTGATCTTCTCTGTTACAGTAACAAGTTATAATAAAATTGCTTCAATGTCACATCTAGGAGAAAAAATGAATCTTGTTTTTCACGATTGCTATCTTTAGAGTCTCGCAGGTGCTGGATTTTTATTCCCTGCCAATCAGTCAAGTCAAGGGGTCTCAGGTACAATGTCTTGTCAATAGAAATATATTGGTGTGTGTGTGTTTATGTGCAAGCTTATGAGGGCCACTGGTTTATCAGTTTGTTCACTGTTATGTGTTTTACTCTATAAATAAAAATATATTATTATTTTAACTATTATTGTTATTATTATTATTATTATTAAAAGTTTACTTACATAGCCTTGCAAAAAGAAACCAATTAAAGTAACTAAAAATTATGTGAAGGCCTTAACAGATTTTATCCTTTCTCACTGATTATTTCAAAGATCACACTGTACCTTGTAGTAAGTCAGTTTTGACTTTATCAATGCCGTCACCCATGGCTGCTCTAGTTCCAGTGACAAACAGTGACATACCAGTGCAACAGTTACAGGAGCAAACTTTGTCACCAAAATCTGGATTCTTCTCAAACAAGGAAGAACTGGATAACAATGATGCCATTTCTGCTGAATACCAGCTCTTAAATTATAACAGTGAAGAGGAAAGGGGTAATGATTGTTCCTTCACATTGAACCAAGAAAATTTTAGCACTGCAGTGATTGATGATGAATCTTGCGATGACAGCTTTATGCAAACCATGAATGATTCTGCTCGTGCTTTCAATGAACAATACAGAGTGAAAAGAGATGTGAGAGAGACTTTCCCTAATGTTCCAGCAGAAGCTTTTTCTCCAGAGGCATTCTTATCATCTATCCCAATGTTTTGCAAAATCAGCCAAAAGAGACCAGCTACAATACGTCCTAAACTCAACACCAATGACACTTCCAGTTACTGTGAATATGGAGATGCAGATCAATGCTATTCCTCACCAAGTGCTGGAGTGGTTATACCGAACAAAATCTTACACTCTGCTTTCTTTATGCCTGGGAACAGTCAAGGTGTTCCTATTGCACCCAAACCATGTCCTAATGAAAAAGTTTCCTGTTATGTGCTGGTGGTTCCAGCTCCACTGTATTATGAAAATTGTGCCCCACTCAAATGCCTTCAGACGCAGCAAGAACAACATGAAGAAGATGTTGACTTTGTACCATCCAAAACTCATATGGTAGTAACAGAACGTACAATTGCACCTGAAGGTATTAAAAAAAGTCCTATAAAATTGATTTTATTACTTCATTTAATTGATGTTTTCTTTCATTTCATGTCACCTTTTAGCTTAAATTTAACCTTTGTCAGCTTAAAATTCACCCTCAGGCCCTTTTTTTACTCTGGGTTTTTTTTAGCCTTCCATGTTCTTGTTGTATGGACTGTTTTCATGTGTTGTCATTGTTGTTGTTTTTGTTGTTTTTTAAAAACCATAGAAACATTTCCTTATAAAAACTGGCTAAATTACATCTCAAAAGCGAGACTTGAGGGGGGAATTAGCCATTCTGAAGTAAATAAGTTAAAAGGCTCCAATTGCTTGATGATAGAGAACTTTTCCTTCTTCATTTTTATGTGAATTGCCTATTTTTCCTGAAAGAAAATTAAACTTGTTATATATACACTGCAATTTTTCCTCACCTTTTACATGAATTCAGTCTCTTTATGTTCTTTCTGTCTTTTAGGATGTTTTGATGATTGTTTTAAGCCAATTAGTGTTGTAATGTTTACATTTCAATATAGTCCCATTGTTTCGATCAGTCTATCACAAACATGAATAGGTCATGCCCTAGGAGGGTGGTATGTATTTCCATAAAATGAAACCGAAAGGTAACAGTCTAAAAAACTTCCTTGTACCTTTAGGGTTTTGTTTAGGAGTCTATGTGCTATGAACTGATAAAATTAGAGTGACAAATCAATTTTGTAATCGTTCTTGTAAGGAGGCACCCCCTTGCAGAATACAGAGTTTGAGCATCATTCAATGCAGTGGAACCCACACCCTCTAAAGCCAGTTAGAACAGCCTTACCTTCAACTATCCTGCGAGTGTCACCAAGCCCTCATGAAGGCAGTACATCCTCTCCCATAATCACTGTCTCAACTACATCCACTCCAATCCAACCATTGCAAGGCAGAAAGCAACAGTATGTTATTGCTCAAGGAAACGACAGACACTCCAAGGGGTTGTCAACGTACAAGGACAGTTTGACAACTCCCACAGGAGAAGAAAATCACCAACCTATTTACCTGCAAGGTACAGAAAGATGGTGTGAGTTTTCCTCACCGAAGAAACACCTAAACCCTATCTTTTCTTAGTCGTTTTTCTACTTCTAAGTTATGGAAAGTACCATTACATGGGTAAAGCATCTATTGAGTTTTTTAAAAAAAATTTATTTTAGGTCTACCGCCTCAAGGTTTCAGAAGACTATTGAAGAGTAAAGAAGGCTCTGGCTCAGAAAGAACCTCAAAGGTGATTTACCTTAAATATTTATGAAAAACTAACACTAACCTGGAGATAGTTGCACAAATTAGTTATCTACAATCAGGCCCTGGTTCGAATTAAATTTTACAAGCTAATTGTTGTGTGTTTCTAGAGGTCACTGGCGCCACGGTTCTCTGAAGTTTCAACTTCACCTGGTCAAGAGGCAACAGTTCCACAAATGGAGAAGTCCCCACTTACCTGCATAAAGATCAAAGCACCTTATGAGATGAACGTTCCTCAGACTGTAAGAACGGTGAAGATTTTGTTCTTATTGGGCAACGAAGTATTTGATGTTTGTGAGTTTTGCATGCTGACATTTCAGCCTGAACTACAGAAGAGAGCATATCTTTTTGAAGCATTTAATTTCTTATAGAGCCTTTCGATCGTATATCGCGAAACCAAAAGCAAAGTAACCACAACAGCCATTAAAAGTCAAGGAAAGAAACATGTGTCACGAGAAGGCAAAGACAACTGATATGTACGTTCAAAGTGCGTTAAGCATGACAAAAATCGGGTAATCACGTCAGAAATTAAGTTCAAATTTGCATCCGCTCGGTTTGTACGAGAAAGACTTTCTTTCGTCCTGTCACATGCTTAGGACAAAGAAAAAATTGTGTGTTGTCATGAGGAATAACGAAGCCCAGACCCTCGGATAGTATGCTCTGATGCTCTACCAGTCTGGATAACTGGTCAAGTCGCTTTAAGTCTTCTCGCCCGAAACTGGAGTTAAGTCGCCTGAAATCACGAGTCATGTCGCCCATTTTTCGTCATATGTTAAAACAGGTTTCGGGACATACGACTTCGTGCGAGATGACTGTAAACCTACCACTGAGCTAAGCCATTGCTAGGTTCGTATCTAACACGTGTCCTGCATACGGCTAAGATCAGCAGTCTCGAAAGCGTCGTGCGTGCAATAAGAACAAAAAAGAAGGTAAATTTTGAGCTTGGAAAGAAATAGAAATTGTCACGGGCGTGGAAAGGAAGGGAGTTTTCGATTCTAAACTAATTACAGCATATAAGTGGGAAAGCAGACATACTGCAATCTTGACGCACTTTACATCACCAATGAGATATTTTCAGGAATTGGCAGAAATTTTGTAGTGTACATCGGGTAACTGTGGCCATAGTTAGTAGAGGAGGTCTCCTCTACTAACTATGCTGTGGCGGAACATTGTTACGCCTCTATCAATGAGAAAGTGATAACATTTACTTGAGTTTATGCTTTTTCGTTTGCAGAATCAAGACAGCAGCCTTCAAATAACGAGGGACCTGGATACCCGTTTAACATCTGCAGAGGAGAGAGACCTCCAGACAACTGGTAGGCGACCTGATGATTCCACTGAACCTTTCTTTCCTCATCCCGTTGCAAGCTGTTACCTCCCCAAATTCTACCAAATGTCATTTATCAACCCTTTTTAATTGATCAGTTTTAATTAATCCCTTTTAAGTGTTATATTTGAAGAATGCATTATAAACATCGATTCCAAGGGCTGTTGTTTTCTTTGCGCTCCATCTGATTTAAGGTTTACTTGAGGTCTGCTCCAGATCACCCTGACCTTGCTTTTTGTCTGCATGTATGCTTGGTTAACCTCAATTTTTTTTATCTCACTATATACTTGCTTAGTATAGGTAATCATATGAGGCCAAGCACTATTAAGGATTAATTGCACGAGAGTTTTCAAAATTTTCCAAAATTGCCCAAGTCGCGAAGCGACGAGGGCAATTTGGAAAATTTTGAAAACTCAAGTGCAATTAATCCTTAATAGTACGAGGTCTTATGGGATTACTTGTTTATCAATAAAGGGCAAAATTTATACAAAGGAAAATCACGCGCGCAGTCTATTTTTAACAAATTTCAAGATAACGAACGGTTGCTATGCAACGGATTAGCCAATCATTAACAGGTAATCATGCCCTCTCTTGATTACTAAAAATGCCCTCGATTAAGAAAAAATGCCCTCTCTCTCAACCAATCAGCGCTCAGTAATTTTGCCCTTTATTGATAACATACCTAACGAAATGCTTACAATAGACCGGTTCCACTTAGTCTAGCTTTCTTACGCATAGTTAAATTAAGGAAATTGTTTGTATCTATAGTCAGTATAGTATCGGAATGCAGGGATAATCCAGAAAGTGAGCCTTCTTTAGACTGCAATGTTACCGAAAGTGTTGAAATTATAGCAACACCAACCACGACGGGTAAACGCGGAGAAGATAAAGAAAAGAAAAAGATCAGAGACAGGTTTGTTGCTATTTACTTATGTATAGTAGCGAGCAAAGAACCTCTTTCGAATTATGTAGTTCCCTATTAAACTCTGCATAGGCGAGTTTTAATGGTGCTGAGTTTATACTCTGGTCTTAACCGGCTGAAGTCCTGCTGACGCCGGCCGATCGTCGAGTTGAACCTAGGTTCACCCGATGTCGTGGTAGTAGCGTAGTGGCGTAACAGTTAAGGCGCTGGTCTGACCTGACTGAGTCGCTGCGTTGTGTTCTTGGGTAAGCCACTATATTCTCACAGTAAAGTGCTCCTTGTTGTTTTATGGCTTGACGTTATGTGGACTGGGATAAGTTCTGGCGCCTTGCCTAGCTCAGGGTGCAGACTTCACCTTGTGTATTCATTTAGTCTGCAAACTTACCTTTGAAATATTAAACCAGTCTACTATTCAACCGTCAAGTAGTTCTATCGTATTGGTTATTTTGGCACTGAAAAGCCACTCTTGCAGAGTGGCCATTTAATTTATTTTTATAATATGTTTGTTGTCTCACAGACGATATGATGCTGAGCTCAAGAAAGCGTTTCATCATCTGAGACAAGTAGTGCCGTGTGTTCAGCGGAATTCCACTCGAGTAAGTTTTCTGATCGTTTTTGCTTCAAGCAGTTCCTCGCATGTTTTTTACCGTTGTGTTAGCTGGTTTGCTGTGTCCCTAGTTATGAAGTGGGGGAAACGCCTGCGGATAATTCTGCTCTGTCTGCCAATCAAAGCTTACTCAAATTCGTTTGTCTTTCATATCATTAGTAATTTATCTGTACCATAGGGGCAGATTTTACAAGAAACCATCAAGTACATCGGAATCCTTGAGAAGAAAGTTACAGGTAAAGCCGACTCATCTCATATACTTGGAGCTTGGAAAATGCTTTGTTGGACACTTCACAACTAATGATGAATCATTGTCATTTAGATGCAGGGCTGTGGTCAACTTTGCAGTCACTAGAAGCTCAACGGAATGCTCAATTACAAGGCTTTCCTGAAGAAACCTCAACAGTTGGAGAAGAACAAGGAATCACGATAGACAATTTGCTGTCGCCCGTGAGCCACGCTGTTCCTGATATTTGTAACAACTTGGTTTTAAGGGCTCTAACAGAGGAAGAAAGTTGTGAAAATTCCCAAGAAGAAACAGCAACGGTGCTGACCTCACCTTTAATTTTAATCTCACCGATTTCGTTACCGACAGAAGAGCGTTTATGCTCCTTTGTTAGTCCTGAAGAAGCTGTATCCGTTGATTCTGTGGATACCTACGAAGAGGATATAACAGTGGCGGGGTTACCCCTGTCGGTTCCATTACAACATATCCAATTTTTGACAGTGGATCAAAGCGACGAGACTTCTGTATTAGCCCCTCAGTTACCAGAGCAGCCCTCATCCCAAGAGCTTCGTACTAGATTGATTCCTGTGGTAGAAGTCCCTGCCTTCACTAATGACAGTGTCTTCTCAGGGAAGTCTCACGAGGTGCAGAAGTCCCCGCAGCAAGACTCGTTCCTGAGTGCCGTGACAACAATAAGCCAGGAAAGTTTGAGTGATCTTGGTGTCACCCTATCACCGCTTCTTTCTCCTCTGGGAATTTTATTCTCTCCTGAAGGGGATCGTCGGCAGGACCCTACCAATGCTGTTGTGGTGGAGAGTACGGAAGACACCGAGGCGATTTCGAGCTCAAGTACAGATCCTGCTTCCAACGACGTAATGTCAAGCATTTGCTCGGACATGACTTCCATAGCAGCTTCTGTAGAAGTTACTACAGCACAGATGAGCAAAAGAACTCTGCAAAATAGCAAGACAAGGAAAAGTCCCAGGTCGAGTTCGATACAGATTGTACCGTCCTTATCGCCTCAGTTGGTAGATGAATCAAAACGTAGCATTTCTCGATTTAATGACAGGCGTGTGCTGCAGGATCAAAGTAATTTTGACGAAGCAAATTTACCTTTGATTGGAAATGGAAGGGGACGCCGGAGAAAGCTGAAAGACCGCTCTCCCGAGCTGGCCTTTGTCGATCATACTGACGAGAACTTCTGCTTCGCGACGGACCAAAGCTGCACACCACCCAGTAGGGTGTCAGGTGTTTTACTCACTGGCAAGAAGAAGACACCAAGTTCCCGTGGGAGAGTAGCAGCGAAGAGGGGGCGGCGTATGTAGCAGTTATCAACTGGTTTTTTTTTACACGTTTTCGTCAAGCAAATGTTTTGAAATGGTATGAATTAGGCACGTTTTACAGACGTCTCTGAAAGGTTACAGAATATTTCTTTTATGTCATGTTTCCAAAATATAAGAGGGGGCAGGGCGATCGTGCACAGATTTGTAGGATCATTTCTAAACTTGTTCGTTCGAACCAGTGCCAGTGTTGCTTGGAGTAATGTTATTAATCATTCTAATAAATGCCACTTTTCAAACTTTTCCCGTTATCTTACGTACATCATAACAGCGGCATGATCGGTAGGAAACACCATAAAATGTGTCACTTTGAGTACACGTGCATGCATCATTTATTCACGTTCCTGCGTGACTCGGTCAAGTAAAATCGCGCCAATGTGAGCACAGCACGATATTCCAAACACATTTGGAGGTAATAACATTTTAATGTCATTATCTGCCTGTTAACGGGAAGTCAGCTTGCGAAGACTTTGGTCATTCAATTCTTTCAAACTAAGGTATGATGTTCACATCCATCGATAGGCTTCTTCTGCTGAGCCTAAGCTGTACTTGAGTTACCTGGTAACCATGACTGGAGTCAACTTCGTTATTTATCTCCCAAAAGCAGACGAGACTAGTTTGTAGATGACTCTTTATTCCTCATATTCACAACAATCGTTAACAATAGTCTTCGCTGTGCAATGCATCTAGTTCTCGATTGTTTTCCACCATGCAAAATTGCTGCACATATCCAAAATGATAACAGATACAATTTTCAATTTACTTGAACCCCCATGCAATCAGTGCTGTTAAAATATGGAAGGTAGCACCGAGATCTCCGCAGTCTTAGTCTAAGATCACTCTCAATTTTTTCTTTGAGGGAATATGTCTTAAGTGGAAATATGCTAACCTGCATTGATGTGTTTATGCTAGGTATTGCAACATGTAAGAGTTCAGGAATGATGGAAATTTTTGCGGGGCTTAGGCCCGTTTTAGAAGCCAAACTTTATTCACGGGTAAAGCTAAATTCAAATGTAAGCTGTCAAAAATCATCGAACTCATTGAGCCAATACCGACTCAGTTCCAGAATTTTCAGCGTGGCCGTTCGGCGCCTGAATCAAAGCCGTTACTGAGCTGCGCCGAAGTCAAAATTCCCGGCCGAACCGTTCCCAAGTTGATTCAGATACCGAACTTTTCATTCCAGGTCTTAAGCCGGTTTGGCTCTGAAAAGTTCGGCGTATGAAATGGGCCTTAGATGCGCTTACAAATTAAAATACTTAAATTAAATCTTATTTCACACTACATAGCATCTTAGTGGACATAATTTAGTTTCAGGTACGCTGAACTTATGAAGAACGTGTATGTCCCGTTGCATATGAAATGAATGAAATATTCACTCCTTAATGCTTCTAATAAAATGAAAACTACAGTGGAGAGATAATCTCGCCGCACATGGTACAAATAAACCATCGTATATTTAATTAATACTTATCACAAATACTATATAACCTGTGCCAATAAGTTACTGTAACACCATATACACGACTGGACTATTTACAGTCTTTACATATTATGCCGTCCAAGATGAAACACCGTCCAACACGTTCGTGAAAACGACCGTGTCATTCTGTCTTCCCGTACAAAAGAGTACTTCGCTTATATTTATCCCAGACGGAACAATATTAAAACTTCAATCTGACTGCATAACAGTTATTTTACAAGAAGATAAATACATAAGGGTCTTTCAGTTACAATGAAACCGTAAGAAAACTATAGAGAATCCGAAAAGATTACAAGGGCATTATAAGGCAATAAAAAAGGTACGAGACAGTTATAGTAGGCTCGATCACCAGTCGCTATTCAGGAAGTAAGCCGGCTCTCACCCCAAAGTCACCCTTAGGAGGATCGAATACTGGACTCGAGAAAACGGCAGAAATCGAGCCTACGGATCCTGCATCTCGAAAAAAAAAGCCTTGAAATTTTCAAGTTCATCATTTGTGATCTGAGTTAACCTATTTCCGTTCCTAGAAGATTTATCCCTTCCATTCTTAACATATTAATACTTTCTTCTGTTATTCCCTAACTTAAGAGGAAGTTTTGCATGCTGCACTAAAAGTTCCAAAAAAACCTGACGCAGTGAATTAAAAAAAATAAATAAAATAAAACAAAAAACACCGCAACATGACAAGTTAGTGAATGGATCGTTATGGTGACTTTTTCCTTGATTACCCGTTATAGTAGCAAATGCCAGAAGTCCAAATGTAAATAAACTATCAAAACTTCAGAACATCTGACTGAAATACAAAGGGTAAAATTAAATTAAGAAGAGCAATATAATCACCTTATTTGTCATAACAATTGGGACTTGGCACTATATAAACAGAGGTTTTACATTAAAGGATCACTTGCAGGTTCAGATGTGGTGGAGCTATCATGCCCTTCGCCGCCATTACCACTAGGATGCTTGGCTGCTTCATACAACTGGTGTAGCTTGGATTTTTCTTTCCTTTCGACTTCCAAACGACTGCGGTAAGCTTCCGCTTCTTTCTGCGCGTGCTCCAGCTCTGAGCGATACTTGTCGCTGTCTCGTTGTAACGCGTGCACTTTTCCTTCCAACTCCTTTCTGACCTTGTCCTCCTCTACTTGTCTCTGTTCCAACAGTTTACGAAGGTCTTCTTGTACTTGCAGAAGAAGCTGAGGGGAGATGAGTTGCTGCTGCGATTGCTGCTGGACATCAGCTGTTGGTTGAACAGGGGCCTGGCAACAGAACAGGTAATCAACGATCATGGTTAGACCTTCAGATTTTAAGCCAAATTATTAGGTAAGTATTACAGCTGAGCTTCCCTCCAAATCATATAGAAAAACAACAGGAATAGCTGACGTTTAAAAAGACACCCAAAAAACCAAACAAACTAAAGTAAAGTCTTTCAGGCATTTATTACATGCAATAACCGCGGATGAGAGGAAGTGCAGAGTGACCTGGCCAAGGCTCCAGTCCAGTGCACTTATACTCAAACCCGTTGTTTTTCCCTCAACCGTGTTCCCAGTGCTTTTTAATTTTAATTACCTGGCCTAACTGAGCCACATAATTTTGGGGTAGTAAGGTCCTTTGAGGAACCGATTGAGCCAGTAGCTGTTGCGTAATATTTTGTTGCTGGTGCTGTGTCCCTGCTGTTTGTTGCTGTTGTCGCTGTTGTTGTGTGTGTTGAGGCACCTGTGTCACTTGACTGCCGATTTGTAATTGGCTGTCTGCAAGAGAAACAAAGCACAATTAACTTTCTTCATCGCAAAGAATACTCAAGGTGGACGAGGGACATAAGCGTCGTTGCAGAACGCCTTCTAAAATTTCATCAACACTCTCGGAACCACACAAGAATGATTTTCACAGCAACCTTTAAAGATATTTAAACGCGACGTTTGAGCCTTTAACCGTAGATCACTTACTTGCTAAAAGTTGAGTCAATGGTACTGTCAGCGGTAACGTTCCATGTCCAACATTTTGCATTAAATGCGCCAAGTTTATCTGATCCTGTGGCAGCTGTAATTGGACAACCGGAGCCTGAGGTGCGGTTGAGCCAGCAGCTTGTTCCTGTTGAGTGTGTGCAACGGTATCAGGTTGTATAGAGACCGGGTTCTGCTGTGACTGAGTTGCTACAGTCGCTGTTTGCTGAAATTGAAGAAGGAAGTGGGACTGTCATATGTCAGTTTCTCTTTGCAATGTTTGTGCCTTAAAACACTGATAGGATGAGGAGGGTAAATACCTGTGAGGTGTCGTGTGTGGCCACTTGTTGCACAAGCTGTACTTGCTGTAAGGCAAAGCTGGGGTCTGTCACAAGCTGAGGCTGAACATGCTGCAAACCAGCTGGAACCTGAAGTGTTATGAACACCTCCTGTGTGCCGGGAATGTTTTGTGTGCTCATGTCCTCCGCTTGTTTTGATTCACCGGTATCTTGGTGAAGCTGAGTTTGCGCCACTTCCTATCGATTGAGAGAACAAAGCTCAATTTAATAAAGTGTAAAATCATAACCACAATGGGAGGAGGAAGGGGCAAAATTGCAAGACCACTGGAAATGCGCAACATTCTTGGAAGTCACAAGAATTTTACATTTTACAAAATGCAACGCATTTTACAAACTTCTGAAAATGTGACCTCCAAACACGCAATGTGTGTCTTTCTACGAACTAATCCCCCTACTTCATCTACCTCTTGCGCTAAAATGTATCAAAGGCCAGACCCTGGTTGTTTGAATCAACTGAACAAATCGTTATCCGGATAAAAACATCACAATCCAGTTTTTTTTTTAATCTGCAGGACGGTGATATAACCTACAAATAGCAATTGGCTATCCACCGGTAAAATAGAGTGCTCCTTGCCACACAGTGCACTATTTAACAGCATCGCCTTCATGTACTGGTTCTGCAAACATGTACCATAAACACCCACCTGAGACTGGCTCTGATTTTTTAACAACTCTGCTGCTTGATTTTGGTCGACTTTTACTTGAGCTAAGAGGCAAAAAAAATTTAATACAGACGATCATCTCAAAAGTGAATACACTTAATGAAATGCATTTGAACTTTGAACCCCTAAGAGAGGAGAAACCAAAATCTGAGTCATGAAAATATAGGCTTTTAGATTGTTTCACAGATTCCCCTTGGCACGACCACAGTAATGCTTGAAGAAAAGTACGGAGAATATCATTACTGATGTTAGGGTATAAAGAGTCAAGGAGCTAAGTCGCGGTGTTTGCGTCATAAGATACTCAATTTGCAATGTGTTTTAGAACTTTCCCAGCTTTACCATTCCAGGGTTGAAGATAAGAGCCGGCAGCCGGCGAAGTACGCCGGCTTCTCTGCAAGGTTTCGCCGGCTACTTTCGTTGCTTCGAGAGCCCATACAGAGATGATGTTTATCAGGTTTAAACTTGGGCTCAATAAAAATAGAAATTTGCCCTGCCAATCTTTTCTGAAACATAAAAAGACTTCTGACTCAAGGTTAGTTTATAA